CCTTAAGGGTACATATAGGGGTATATAGTATGTGTCTATAGGGCCCATACTAGGGGCCCGTGGTTTCAACCCTCAGCCCAAACCCCAAACCCCAAACCAAAAGTCCATTACATCTTTAAAACAGTCTAAACCCTGAACCCGAAACCCGAAGCCCTCAAACTTGTTGTTAAACTGGGTTGCTGTTAAGGAACTAAATTCAAGGTTTCACTTTGTGCCAGGAAGTCTTCCCATATCCCCTACCGTGACCCTAAACCCTAAACCCTAAACCCTAAACCCTAGGTTTCACTTTGGTGCCAGGAAGTCTTCCCATATCCCCTACCGTGACTCGAAGCTGACAAGGCTTCTGCAGGATGGGGTGCCCGGCAGGTGCATGTAACAGGGGTTTAGGGTTTTAGGGCTTTAGGGTTTTAGGGTTTAGGGTTTAGGGTTTAGGGTTTAGGGTTTTAGGGTTTAGGGTTTAGGTCTTTAGGGTTTAGGGCTTCGTCGGATTAATTCATGCTATTATGCCCGCTTAGGCCTTGCATAGTTAAGACATGTCATACGCTGAAACCCAATTCGAAGTGTTACGGCCCCTCTGCTGCCCGTACTCTCAATGTTATCATGACCAGAACCCGAAAACCGACAAATTTAGGAAGCACACGTTGTTACATGCTGCCAGTGCCCAGCAAGTGTTTATCATTTACAGGGTTTAGGCGTTTAGGGTTGAGGGTGTCCCAATTCAACTTCTCCCTCTCCCTGCTTTTCGCGCATGCAGAGCTCTTGCCTCACAGGCACGATTGTGGTAGTCCGACGAACCTCGCCTACCTTATCTAAGGCATTATATTAAAGATACCATAACAAGGAACCCTAAAAAGGTAGGTTTTGTTCGGCTAGACCCCAGACCCCAAGAGCCCGAGGCATCTCGGAGGCACCCTCAACAATATCCAGCCCCACAGGAGCCCATGCGTCGTAAATCCAAAGCAGGACTCATTGGGCGGCAACACGAAAACCGTGATGGTGGCAAACATTGGGTACCTGCCTCGACGTTTGGGTTGCAGCCATGGGCTTCAGCAGCTGCTGAGGTGTGTACTATATGGGCCTTAATAGTTAGAATAGGGTTTCGGGGTATGTCGTACTATAGTTATAATAAGGAATCCCCCAAACCCTATTCTAATCCCTATTCTAATTATTCAGGCCCCTAGATTACAGACGTGTGTCGAGCTCAAGTAACTGCGAGGTTGGGGGTTTGGGGCTTCAGGGTTTTAGGGTTCGTTCCTCGTGTCGATCTCAGGCCTGCCGACTACAACTACGACGAAACCATGTCGACTTTGAGGTGGGGAATGCATCGGGGGTTCTCTATGATGTCGGTCGGTTTGCATAGAGGCATACACGCTGGCACACGCAGACATAGCCGCACTCACACCACCTTCAAAGGAATGCAGACATATGCGCTTACCACATGTGCTCCCTGCATGAGTGGTGTCCCTTCAACAGTCTCGAACCCCATTGATAAGGGACCCCCAAAATAGCGCAGGTAGGGCCGAAATAATTACCTGTAGGGTTTAGGGTTTAGGGTTTTAGGGTTTTGGGGTTTAGGGTTTACGGTTCCTTCCGGCTGCTAGATCAGTGCAACGTCTTTGGAATCTCGAGGGATCGGTTCGGGTTTTGCAGCCTTTAAACCTTAGACCATATAGTGAACCCCAGAAACTTGGAACATGGGTTTAGGATGATGTGTGCTAGGATCCCTTGTGCTTTACCTTGAATGACGTTCCAACTTTCTGGCGTCTACTGTAACCCTAAACCCTAAACCCAACAGAGATGGCATCTCTCCCATTCCTTCCTGCTGTTTTCGCAGCTTCCTGGTTTTCCCTAGCTCCTGGCAAGGGTCAACACACCCACAGAAAGACACAGAACGCCAACCACTCCCTGCACAAACTGCCAGCGTGGATTTTCTATAGGGTTTTGTCCTAAATCCTAAACAATCCGCTGTAAACCCTAAACCCTAAACCTGAGTCTTCGAGTTGACCAAGCGGGGTCTGCAGAGCCCGTGAAAAGACTCTAACCCTAAACCCTAAACCCTAAACCCTAAACCCTAAACCCTAAACCCTAATAGTATACTCCCTGCACCTGCAGCCCTGAACCCCTCTGCCCCAAAACCGTGGCACCCTTAACCGGTGATCCCTGCGCTACATACAATAATATAGGGCCTCAATAGTTACCTATGTTATTTTTGTTTGGGGGTCCTTATTAGATTTATACTATAAAGGACCCGCCCAAACCCTTTTCTAATTTTTAAGGCCCCTACATTACACCCTAAACTCTAAACTCCATCAGTTCCCCGAGACCTCAAGCCCAAGCCGTCTCAAACTATTTTTCATGAGCCCTAAACCCGAATAGTCCGATGTTCTTAAGATAGGCTATCTCAAGATTAGGGGCCCGGATTTGTTTTAGAATCGCTTGTTGCGATTCGCATCTAATTTCCACATAACCAAACGATGATCTGCCCCCAAGCCCTATTGTTCCTTCTTAAGGCACCTATATTGCGACCTGTTGTTGCCGCAGAGCCGTTCTCTAAGAGCGCTGAAGGGTTTAGTTTAGGGCTTGGGGTTTAGGCTGTAGGGCGTTGTAAGCTTCTCAGACCTTTCATTTCATACGCTGCATGATAGCCCGACTGTGGGGTTTGACAAGGCTTCACCGTCTGGCAGGCCGAACAGCGAACAGCAATTATTATAGGGGTTGCAATAGGTACTAACCCTAGACCCTAAGCCCTAAGCCTTAAACGTAAAGCCCTAAAACCTAAACTCGAAGCCCCAATTCCTAAGCCCTAAACCCTGAGCCCGGGACCCTAAACCCAAAGCCCTATACCCTAAGCCCTATACCCTAAGCCCTATACCCTAATCCCTAAAACCCTGTAGGGCTCCTCAGTCGATGCAGTAGAAAAAACCGAAAATGCCCTAGCATCTTCTTCGTGGTTCTATATCATACAGCATGATCCACCTTTGGTTTCAGGCACGGTGATATAGGGTTTAGGGTTAAGGGTTGGGGTTTAGGGTTTAGGGTTTAGGGCTTTGGGTTTAGGGTTTAGATCTGATTGCAAATCTATTGCCTTCCGTGTTCCTGAGCATGAGGTATGCCTACCGCGCCAAGAGCATAAAGAACAAGCCCAGGATCAACGAGGATCCAAAGGACCGCTATCTTTGTCATCTTGAATCCTCAACCCTAAACCTTAGGAGCCCCAGTAGGTAAACTTTAAACTTTTTAGTATATTAAACCCTCACTAAAAGAAAAGTTTAAAAAATGAGCCAGGGTTCTGGGCTTCAAGGAAACCCTAAGCCTAAGTTTGTTCGGTAGCCGTTTGTACGTGGACTCACCCGAACCCTTGCAGCTCTCGGGACCTTTTCTTCTTGATCGGATTGTTGCCCAGGCTTCGGTTTAGGGTCTAGGGTTTAGGGTTTGGTACCCTAAACCCTAAACCCTAAACCCTAAACCTTAAACCCTAAACCCTAAACCTTCGAGCTGAGACTCCTCGAAAAATCGCTCAAGCCCTGACACCCCACACCCCAGACTCTGGAGCTT